GTGAATATTCAGTAAGAATAGCACATGCATATGTAGGACACATTCAACAACAGTGGACAACATATATTCATCATGACTTTTCATCAATAATTAAAATAAAAAATATTGTGTCCAGATACAAGACAACCGACAATCCAAAGAAACATACTGTATGGATACGTTTTGGACAGAATAAACTTGATGATATTTCTTCATACTGTACTTGCAAAAGTGGTTTGCGTATTGCAGGTGGTACTTGTTCCCACGTAACCGCAGCTTTAATTGCCTTAAAATATTGGAAAAATAATGAAAAACTACCATCCTTTTATACAATAGCGGAGGCATTATTTATCAATGTTTTGGATTGCACCGCATATAAACAGAGAAATAAAAACAAACAAATGTCAACAGAAGATGATGAAACATTTAGTGACACCGAAAACCAAACATCAATAAGTGATGTATCAACAAATGAAGAATTAACAGATGAAGAATCAACTGATGAACAATCAACAGGAAACAATATTAATAAAGAAGATGCTAATAAAAACTAATCTAATCGTAAAAAAAGACCGAGAACTGTTTAGTATTAGCATTCACTGACTGCATCTGTTAGTTTTTGGAACTATCTTCTTGCCTTAGAACCTTTTTATGTAAAAGCTTTTGGGCGTGATCGTCAAATTCTTAATAAAATTTATTCCAGAAATGGCAATGAAATAAGTTCTAAAACACAGCAGCCATATGTGACATGTGCAGTTTTATGTTGTCATGTCTCAGTAAAGTATTAATAAGTTTGATAAATAAAGTCGTACAGGGCCATGCTACATCTCATTTTGTAGAGCAACGAAATCTCTGCAATTCTGTGTATTTGAAATATATTTCAGGTTGCCAAGCATGAAACTATAAATACTGTTCCAAGTGGCATCACGAAAAATACATAGAATTTTGTTTTCCAAATTATTATAAGTTATATAATAACTTGAATATGAAGAAGAGTGACATGGATTATGAAAGTAGACAGTGTGGGGTGTCGAACGGTATACACATGATTGGGTTAGGTTTTGGCTTGATTCTACACGATTGTAATTTTGGTATAGGAGGAGCTCCCTTAAAACATATCAAATCTATGATTTTCTAATTTAATTTCCTCTCACGGTACGCAACAGAATTTGATAATATATACACCATTGGATAGAGGAAGTCTTCCTCTACAAACCTACATATATCCCGTTTTGTGGTCAAAATTCACCGTGAAAGTCATAGTCGCCTTTAATATCATTGTTACATTCTATGGGGGGTCATGGAAGGTTGTTACATTCTGGGCGGGGGGGATGGATCTGTGGACTTTACAGGTATATAGAATATATTATGAGGAATCTTTATTACCTTAGAGGATGCGTAAATACGATTTTATTCCAGTATTTTATCGAATCTTGAAGAGAAATTTAAGGTTATCTCGGTTAAATTTTATTAGCGTCATAAAGAAAGCTACTGGTAATACTAAAAGATTTTTTTGCCTTAAAATAATTACATGATTTACGAATGTTGTCAAATTTCGGAGTTAGAAAAAAAATTTTGATTTTTCTGTTTACTTTGCACTTCTGTCAATCTAATCTTTTGTCGTTACAAACAATTTGCTTTCTCAATGTTGACTGTTCCTTTTTGACGAGTAACGATGTATAAAAGAGCAAAATAAACGAAAATTGCATTCGACAAAGAGAAAAAGTAGAAAAGAAGTTTGTTCTGTGCTACCTTTCACAAGTTCGTACTATTAATCAAAACTAACTGCTTTCTTTGTTCATCCTATAATGGCAACTATAGGCAATGGACCTTCCACAAACATAAACGTTATGTGGATCGATTCCGATCCCAATGTTTTCGGAAGCACTGTTCTGTTTCAAAACGAAGGATGGAAAATATCATGTTTCAATGAAACAGCAGATGCAATAAATGCTCTGCAGATGCAAAAAATATCTCCGACCGCTGTGAAATGTATCATTACGAGTATGATGGAGCGAGGTGGTCGCAAAGAGCGAGGTTTGCGAAATGGACTAGAAATGCTAGATGATATAAAATTAATCTGGCGGTTAGCTAATGAATCATATTGTCCGCTTATCGCAGTTATCAGTTTGACAGCTGACCTACAGCAGTGCAAAGAACATGGTGTGGAACTTGTAGTAATGGGCGACAGGTACAAATTACAACGAGAGATAATAAGTCGTTTGAAATCGAGTACAAATGCATATTATCGCGGAACATGGCGTGAACCATCACTGCTACCTTGTCAAAATTTACGTAACATTGCTCACGACTTTTTGGAAACACTTCATTTAGATAAAAGTTTTCTCGATCCATTTGCTGATCGCTGCTTTTGCGCAGCGTGTGAACCCCAACGAATTTGGACGCGATCCGGAGAAAAGTATGCTCTACCAATCGGTTATTATCGTTATGGTATAGCAATACGACGTGATTTCGATGATAAGCGGGTGAATATCGAAAATTGGCCGGTAGCTTACCATGGAACAAAAGTGAACTGCGTGGTATCAATCATACGCCATCGACGTATAATGTTTCCTGGTGATATCCTTGATGATGGAACAAAACTAGTGCAGAGACTCGGACAGATCCACGCACGAGCCGTTGCGCCTGAAGGCGGTTCAGTCATCTATATATCGCCAACGATCAGATATTCACAGCATGAGATTTATGCACCTTCGATTCCATTCAAGTCTTATTATGTTAAACTTGTACTTCAATGTAGAGTAAAACCAAATAGTTTCGGTAAATTTCCAGAAACGCTTGCAGCTGGAAGTACAGAATTCGATCCAGAATTTAAGAATAACGAAATAGAATGGGTTACAGCAGATAGACAAGCTGTTGTCCCCTATGGTCTACTAATTGGCGTTTCGAAGTAAAATAGAAATGCAAGATTATTCTTTCATTTTTGTGTTTGAATTCATTAGTGCAAAAATAATTTATGCTACTTTATTGACGAGAGTATCCATTTTGTAGACGAGAGGTTAGTCTAACAGTTCAGGTATGTGGGTTGGAAATCTTGGATTTTCAAGTGTTGTACCTCATTAGTCATCCGAGAACCACAAGAGATATAGAGGTTGGTCTTGTGAGGTTTTCTTCTGTATAAAAAAAAGGTTTTTGTTTGTTGGCGTTTCTAAGCAAAAATTCATCACTCACAAAATAATTCATACTTAATTTACTTGCTTTTTTCTCTTTTGTTATGATCTTTGTTTTTGTTATTATTTTATTTCTATTATAAACAGTTTTAATTGATGTGCTAAGTAAACAGAAAAGAGACTTCATTTTAAGTATATTTAACGTTGGAAATTTTCTACCAAAGTGGAAACATATGCTGTTTCTTTAAACCAAGCCACTTTTTAAAATAATGTTTAAGTTTATCTTGCCGTTCTATATTTGCTTTCACACTGTCAGCATCATCTTCCTTTGCAAGTGTCTGCTCGCAGATACTATCGTTATTACTAATCATGGATAATTTAGTTATATATTGTCTAACGGTTTTTGCAACTTAGCTTGCACACGACCAGAGCATCAGTGGACCACCCGTCCAGAGCACTAGACGACTAGTGGACCACGCTTTGTTTTCTGCAACTTAACTTGCAGACAATCTGAGCACCAGGCGACCGCATTTGTTTTTTTGCAACTTAACTTGTTTTTTAATCACCAGTTTTTCAATCATGGATAATTTAGTCATATATTGTGTAACGGTTTTTGCAACTGAGCTTGCGGACGACCAGAGCACCAGGCGATAGGCTGACCACAGCACCACCCGGTATGCTGACCAGAGCACCAGCCGATAGGCCGACCAGACCATCAATGGACCACCCGTCCAGAGCACCAGACGACCAGTGGACCGCGCTTTGTTTTCCGCAACTTAACTTGCAGACAATCAGAGCACCAGCCGATCATCACAACCTTATAGGGAAGAATTACGAAAAAAAGGGCATTTTCAGTTACAATTTTAAGCAAAACCACAATGTCTTGTTTGTTCTTTTACTGCGACAAAATATTCAGGTCTGATGACATCGCTGACTTATAGTTCATAGTTCGTGCTATTTGTACGAAATGAGGAGAACTACTCAGCATGCTTTTAAATGATTTCTGTCTTCCTCAGAACTATTCGTAACTCGACAGTATTAAAGAGCAGTAGATAGGTGATAGTTTGAGTTCCCTACTAAGAACTGAGAAAAAGAACTGTTATGCAGTTTATGTTCGAGTGGCTCTAACCTGTCTGTAACAGCTCTAGTTCAAAAGAACAGAAGTGTTATAACAGTTCTTTTCTGAAGAACTGAAACAGACCAGCTGCTTTTTTCTTGAAAAACCAAAACAGAACGAGAACTGCCGACTGATGAATTAGTCAGAATAATTTCAGAACTTGTAATTTATTTGACAGTGTATGCATATTCAGAATTATGCGTGACAACATCTACCCTGGCGTTATTTTTGACAGCATCTTAGTTTTTTTACGGTTCTGTGCAAGAGGGCTGTGCACGGTTCTGTGCAATATATTGAGATGGTATCGGGATGAACTAGATACCATGCCCAATATATCTAGATAACCCAATAAAAGTGACACCTATACCTAGATATTTCATAGTAGGATAGCCCAATACAACGATAAAATATCTAGATATTTTCATGTAGGATTTTCTGCTTGGGAGGTACACTGTCACCGAAACGCGTCAAAATATATTGTTCTACCCTGTCTACAAGAAAAAGAATCACCATCATCTCGCTATTATTATCTATTCGTTCATTCATTTACAATCAGAACGATTGAGCTTTTGAAAGCTATTTTATTTTTTCACGGAGAGAGAGAGAGAGAGAGAAGAGCGACTAAGTAGTTATATGTTGCAACAGAAATCTTCGTTCCATAGAAAACACATGGGCGTTATAGTCGAAAACTTAATTAATTCGAACGGAATGAAATATCGAATTTTACACACGGTCCGCTTTCACTGCTTTGAACTTTAAGTATCAGTCTCAGGAAACTTATCCGCACAAAATGCGGCTAATAGAATACTTTCGACATCAACCTCAGAAAGCTAGTAATCTGAGTGTACAAGCAAAAAAAGCGAGAGCACAAAACAAAAAAGCACGCCGTTCAGGGTTGAATGCGTACATATAGAAGAAATGAAAAAAAAATACTTCATGAGCAGTGTTTGGATTCATGTTGTTTGACAAAAGAATGTAAGAAATGACACAAAACGTAGAGTGGAAAGCGAAAATCGACAATCATTGCTAAGCCATGCATCTTTCTGATTAGATTTGTTTCTCTTAGTTTTGATTAGCTCCGTCTGAAAAAGCGATGTTTTTCTTTTCCGCTGTTATAGTCGTCGGAATACGGGTGTAGCAGGGATTGAAGTTCTGCTACAGAATGAGCGAGAGCAGACGCATGCCGGGTTCAGCAAAAAAATTTTCTTTGAGATAAATGAAAGAAGATGATTTTTAAGAAAAAAGTTATTTTTTATTTACGTGGAAAGTCAAAGCCAGTGATTCTTCATAGCATGTCTGCGTTCGGTAGGAAGTTAGTTTGGAAACTAGTTTATGATACATTCAGCCTTGTTGGAGTAATGTGATCACTCTCTTCCAAAAGTAGGTATTTTTCTTTGATTGTCGACAGTTGAAGCAGGTTGCTGTAGTTCAAAAAATTGCGGTCCAAGAATCTTGAGACACTCTGACAGTAATCGAGTAAAATGAGAAAAACGAAAAACGTACTTTCACGCCCATTGTTCATGATTTTTTGATTGAAGCAAGTAGTGAATGATTATCAGAAAATAAGTTAAGTTAATGGCGTTTTTCTTATCATTCCTGCTTCTCACACAGATAACGAAAAGGTAAATGACGGCCACACGATCATTCTTCTTCTGAAGTGTGAGGTTATGGGGCAAGTTTTCTCTTGTTCGTCGTCAAGGCCACCACCACCACCACCACCATCGCCACCATCACCCCCACGCATAGAGTGAATGTGGCAATCGACAAAAAAAAAATCGACAAAAAAGCCTCAATGGAATTCATATTCCGATGTAGAGACAGAGATAATCGAGAAAGCCTTGCAAAAGAAGGCAACAGAGGCCCTTCTCGACGATTATCAAATCGATTTAAAACATCTCGTTCAAATGTCGAACAACAATTTTAATAATCAGCGTCCTATGAAGCGTGTTACACATGGAAGAGACGAAAGAGGAGTGAGACTTCGAGAAGAACGATTTATGCCTAACCCTTTGTCACTCTCTCGACCTTTCACCGAAGGGGGAGACTGGGAGGTGAATTTTATTCGTGCTGTGGAAGATTATTTCAGTATTGTACCTGCTGATGATCATCATATATTGGTGGAGAAAGCAGCGGAAGGACTGATTTCAGAAGGAAAAAAGGTGGGTAAACAACGAGAAGCAGAGTGGATGGCCCAGGAACTGCTCAATGTAAAAGACAAAAAGAAAGAAGAAGTGTATCCGGTATGCGTTCGTCTCTATACGATGGAAAGTTTTCTCTACAAGAAAATGAATGAAACCATGCGTTCTGTGGGCGATGAGAAACATATTGACTTCTTGCAAAGCAAAGTACCGACCTTTGGCCCTTTTGCTTATCTTCTTTACAAACTCTTAGTATATGACAAAAAATGGTGGACTGTCTATCGCGGCGCTCAACTGTCCGATGATATGATTGAACAATACAAAGACTCTATTGGAAAATACCGAGCATTTCCAGCTTTCACTTCAACAAGTCGTTCTCGTGCTAAAGCTGAACAATTTGGTAATGTCCTTTTTGAAATTCAAGCTCGTAATGTGGGCGCCGATGTATCGTCATACTCAGTCTATCCTAATGAAGAAGAAGTACTACTGCCTCCATATTTCAACTTCTGCGTTCGATCATGTTCGCTGTTGTTCGACAGAAACAAAAGACAAAATAAGTGGATAATATGCTTGGATTAAAAAGGTTTTGTCTTGGAGGATTTCGATGACAGTGAAGAATGGTCTATAGTCTCTTTTCTCTGCTTGTCTCTCCTGCTACGTTTTTTTGGGGACAAAGTGTGTGTCCCTCGCAGAAGTTATTTTCCTTAGTCTTCAACGCGGTTATCGAACAAATATTAGTCCATTTTGTACTCCGAAACTGAAAGGAGTAGTGCGGATAAGTCGATTTTTCATTTTAAAAAGAATTCGAAATAAGAGCCACATATTCGGAATCAGCGTTGAATTCTGAGTAAGATGACGTCTTTTTTTCTATCGAAAGATAACTTTTATTTTTCGCCTGCTAAATCGTCTGCCTATTTTGGAACATCGAAAAATTTATGTTGTCCAAATTTCATTTGAAGTATATCGCTAGGCGCAGAATTTAATGCTCAACCTCGTTTTGCTCAAAAATGTGCCTGACCTTTAACAACTTACTCTTTTTTACTAGCGGTATCTTGGGACCTATACTCTTAAAAAAAAGGCTCCATACTAAACCATTAAGGTTTGGTGTATTGCTTCGAAACTTTTAATGGTTTTGTAGCGAAATTTCGTAATTCAGAGGGTTTGTTAGATGGTACGAAACCTCAAAACAAAATTTTTTTCTGCAAGGTTTTTTACAGAGTATACGAAACCGGCGAAGTGTTTTAGCAGCATTAAAGGTTTAGTAGAAATTTCACAAAACCTTACGAGTTTCATATCGCATTAAACACTTCTTCGATGAAAGAAGAATATGTTGAAAAACCAATAAACAACTAGTAGCAGATATTTATTAGTCTTAAGATAGGTATCCGAAAGACGTTGTCTATTTGAAACACGCGATTTATGTGAATACCATTAGATGGAGCCATTTTTTTCTCGGCTGTGATTAGTCTAATACAGAAACCAGTAAATGACAGAATGTGAGAGATGACTATTTTATTTCTTTGCTTTTTGCATGAACTATAGCCTACTTCATCGGGGAAAGTTAAATCTACTGTTTTCCCATACCATTCCTTCCTCGGTTAGTTAAACCAACTTTAGAAATGACACCTTTCACACGATCTAAAAAAGTTCAATAACGATTAAGGATTGAGGAACATCTTCTTTGGGAAAGCCATGTATCTTTTTTGCATAGCTGAGTGTACTTGCTTGATTATGTTTAACAAACATAATAAAGCACTGCTAGCAACTTGAAGTTTAATAATACTTCAAGTTTTATCATTTGCTGACCTTTCATAATTCACTCGTCATATGTGAATAAGAATTAGTATGATGGGCTACTTGATGACTGGTTGGCTGGCTCTATCAACTGAGAGTATTGGGTTATAGAAATTCGATTAAATAGCTAAGCTGGCAAGTTCCCAAACTGAATTGCTAGATTAGTATAACAAGCTGAGTGTAGAAAAAAGAAATAGAGTTGCTTTTTTTTAATTACAACTGATCTAAATCTGATGCACAACCGAGCACAATGACTGATTCTAAGATTGTTTATTCACGAAAAGTGAGAGTCATCAAAGGTCACCGACCTGTAATAACAATGACTCCGAGTGTGTAACGAAATATGACCTATTCTTCCACTCTCTTCCAACCATAATTCATCT